CCATTCAAGGACCGCTTGAGCCGAGCCCACTCCCTCGTCTGCACCAAGACCGGCGCCTCAACCTTCCTCCATAACAGGATGGTTCGTGCGCGAGTGCCATATATGCCCATCGCCGTCGAGGATTCTTCCCCTTTTACCTCTTCCCCTTTTACCACAGGCACTGGTAGGGGAAAGGGGCTATACAAGATGGATTTGGTAATCCCCCCAGGATTACACGCAGGNGTCTAGCTCCTCGCTGCAGCATCCGATGACGATGACACGCATATGCTCGCGAAGCTGCTGATGAGACCTTCAATTTGCACCGCTTCTTGGAATAGCCCGTCCCCTACTTGCCAAGAAATGGCAAGAGGCGTCTGGACCCGAAATTTCAATTTTTTTGGCTCTCGCTCTCAATCAGATACTTCGCTCTCAATCAGGCGAATATGTTGTTAGGTACTGGCAGAGGAAAGGGGCTATACAAGATGGATTTGGTAGTACCCCCAGGATTACACGCAGGAGAGAAGGAAGAAGAACTCTGCACCAAGTCCAATCTTATAAACGCAACAATCGTCAACCCATCCGCAGGTCGACACATCGACAAGTCGATCCAAACGCCAGGATCCGCCCTCGAATATCGAGCTGCAAGTAAGGCAAATCACAATGCGGAACTTTCAACCCGTCTAGATCTACCCTCCTTACTGCTGCTTTGTCAACGAATGGTGGTCTTGGCAAAGGCACCAATCGACTCATCGTTGCTATCGCCAACCCCTTGGCGCACGAAGCTTTGTGCCGAGGGAACTTCGACGACGAAAGAGCCTTACTTCGCCTAAAAGCTTGTTATTCTAACAGCATTTGGAGACGGATTACCTTCGATCTAGCTCGCATTCTGTCGATGCAAACTCGCGATGTGTTCAAACGTCATGGGCTACTGATCGACTAAGTTCTACCAGGGCCAATCGGTTGCGATCTCTGCGACAATGATAGTAATGAGGGTAATTCTTTTAGAAGTGACGGAGACGAAGGAAAGAGAAAGGGAAAAAAGGAGGACGAAGACGACGATGGAGGAGGATGTCATGGAGGATTGGAAGAGAGCCAAGGGTTTGAGCTAGATGACCTCCTCCAAAAGAAAAAACGTAGGGCGAGGGAAAAACTGCCCAGAGATTCTTGTCAAATGAGGATCAGAATGATGGTAGCGAAAACAAGGAGGATAATGGTGAAAATACTCCTAAACCAACTCGAGTACAAGGTAGTAACCTTGGTAGACGCGTGCAGTTTTCTTCTGTTGCTGGTGTTTCTGTCTTTGATCCGAAGGATAGTTTGGCCTGCCCCATCCTGCCCCCTCACGGGGTCCCAGTTCATGGCAGATAGAAGTATTTTGTGTTTTCGACCGCACAAAGACTGTCTGTCTGTTGTCTGGATCCCACTTCCCCGTCTACTGCCAACTGCCCTCGGCACCGACTCGTCCACCCAGCGCTCCACCACCCCCGCCCCCCTAACATATATGTGACGTACGACACAATAATTCGAATGAATGCCTGAACACAACGCTCATTTTCAAGAAAACCTACTAGGGCCGTGTACATAGTGCCCGTCTACCTTTCTGATGACGTCTGCCTCCGCGCACAAAGATGAGGTGGGCATTGCTGCCTACACCGACGGCCTGGAGGCCCGCGCATCTGCACCTTTGTGCCTGACGCACCAGTGCCGACCCAACTCCACCACTACGCACGCCTCGCGGCGGGTGCGCCGCAGCAAGAAGGTATCGGTCCCTTGAGGGTGAGCCTAGCCCTGCTCGCTAGAAAGACCCTCCTCCTCGCTATGGGTCATGCCTACGCAAAACTTCCCGAGGCAGCGAGGGGAAGAAGGGGAGACGTTGCGGTGCGGTAAATCGGTTTTCATCTTTCGTTACTAGAAGAGGTTCAAAATGTTTTTCGGCCGCCCTCGCCGACCTGATCGTGCTGTTCTGATGATCGCAACGCCCCTGTCGCGAGCTCGAGACTTCCAAGGGTGAGCCGAGTTACAGCCCCCGTGAGTAACGCGTCAATCTCCTGCAACCGGGGCTCAACTGCGAAAGCCTCAGCCAGTTGGCCAAGATTTGTTGGAGAACCTCAACTCATTCAACCATGACCGACCACCAGTTGCCGACCACAGAGTTCCTGCTTTGTCCTGCTCCAGAGAAATTTCCAAAGACCACACTTCTAATCTTCGCCAACCACACCTGACCAAAAAGCTGTGTGTGTTCCGTTCAAACGAATTTTTGCCGGACGTTATCTAATGTTTTTTTCGGTAGTATACTCTTCTTGCAATAAAACAGGCAAAAACAGGTAGTTTGTAGGGTTGGCGGTCGAGAGCGGACCCACCTGAGTCCATCCGCAAGTGCAATATTTTCTTTTTTTTCCAACGCAACCAACCCTTACAGTAGGGTCACCCGCATCTACTACCTGAATCAGCCGTAGGGTCATGGTGCAGACCTACCTGAGTATACTGCAGCACAGCAGTGGTACGCCATTGTTCGAACCTAAACTCAAAACCAAATTCAATCACGATATTGAGCGCGAGCGAGCGAGTTTACTACATGCAACCTGACGGGTGATGATGGGGCAATTAGTCGTGAATGGATGCGTCACTGCAAGGATTGAATGAAAGTACAAGACGTTCAAACATTTTTCGTCTTTATGTCGCAAATTACTTGCCGCAAATAAATGTATCAAATCCAAACGCCGAAAAAATTGCAACCCACGGCAAAAAAACAACATTCACTGAGGACCTGTTGCATCGTATACATACCCCGAATGTAAAACTACTGCTCGAGTATTTATTTATTGTGCAAACGCCAGGAAAAAATGCAGGATACCCTCTGCGTGCAGTACATTTGCCAGCTTCGTGCCCTTGGTAAGCTGTGCACAGTCTTCACACGCACCACCATATCCTTCAGCCCAATCCGGACGGCGAGGGCGCTTGGCGCCCGAGCCTGGAGACCTTGTAAATATTTCATTTGGTCATGTTTTGTGCTTCGGCATTTCTTTCTCTCGCAGCAGTGAGTCATTTCTCGCGCTACCTTCTCAGGGGTTTGTCGGCACATTAACGCTCACGCGCGGAGCTCGCAGGCCTCCGTGAGGCGCGCTGATGACGGTCAAAGTCGCACAAACTGGCTCTAAACCCCGGGGACGCGTTCCGCGCAAACAGAGCCTGGCGAACACACCAATTCTTCTGAATGAAACCCATCAAAAACGACAGAAAGGAAATGGCCCACACGCACTTTTCGAACAGGTTTGTTTCTCGCTGCCAGCGACAACTAGCTGGAGAAACCTGATCATGTGCCCTCACAATGAACTTGTACATCCCTACTTCGTGTTGCTTTTTCAAAGCTGGCGCCATCACCACGGTTTGTGATATTTCTGGCTGAACATCAGTTGTTGTCCGAGCAAGAAATATATTTGAAAAGAATGCCTCTTGCCCACCTTGTGTAACGAGCAAGAAACATATTTGAAAAGAATGCCTCTTGCCCACCTTGTCTTGCCTGATGTTCATTTCCACCGTTCATAATTCGCTGATATCGCCCTCGCTGTAACTTCGTGTTATCGCACGCTTCGTCCAACAGCACCTACCTACCCGCAACGCGATAAAAAAAAAACAGCACGCACCGCAGGAGGAAGGTGGGGCATGAAAAGAAATAATATGAAGTGTGCTTTTTACCTGTTGTTGGCAGTCTAAAACTAGGTCCACACACCATAATTCCTGTTGTAGATTGGACGAAGCTTCGATGTGATGGCGGGTAGCCAACGTTCAGGCGAAAATTCATCGAGATCGGAGCAGTTTCGTGCTATTCCGTGCTGCTGCTGCGTGCCCGTGTTCCTTTCTTGCTTGGTAAGGCCTTTCACCGAAACAGCCAAAGGTTCACGCAGGAGGCGCCGATTGATCTCAAAACTTGCCGGGGGCTGCTCAAGTAGTGCAGGACGGTCGATGGTCTGATTCCTCGGGCCTCGAGCGTTCGGGTCAAAAAAGCGCGTGGTTCGGAGCTTCGGAGTGACGGCGACAGACAGACAGACAAGACCGTATCGGTCTCCTGGAGGACCATCGACCGAAGAACATGCTTTTAGAGAAGAAACCGGAGCTCGCCAGCCTAAAACCAAGTGAGAAACGGAAATACGGCTAAACAAAAAAAGGGGTGTTCCGCGGTAAAGACGAATAGTTTCCACGAGTTTTTCAATGAGCAGCAAGAAATGGTTCCCAACCTCTGAAAATTTGTACCAACATCCGTTCGGTGACGAGGATCACGAAAATATACTTGTTTTCCCATTTGGATGTCGTGGTGATGACTTCCTGATGAATTAGTGGCCAAAATTGGGTGGAAATCGCGTCTGCGGGCCCCCCGAGCAAGTTGCAAACGCCTCTGAATCGTGTAAAATTTTCAGGTCAGGGTAATGTAGTGTTGCACATCAAGAATCCGTCGTCAGAATTTCGATCAGGATCGATGCGGCCGTGATACAGCTACGCACTGATATATATGCGCGAAAGCAGGGATAACCTGGAATTACTAGGAATTACACTGAAATATCCCCCCTCCCGCAACACTTTCTACATGTTGATTCAATCTCTCCTGACTTCGAATTAGGGTAATTTTGGGGTGGCGATCACAAATATATTGTTGGAATGTCCCAGTTTTGATTTGCAATGGACTTTCAGCTGCTCAAAAGCTGACAGTAGCTGAGCCATTTCAAAATTCCTGGGATTTTGGATTCTCGGTTCCCACGTCGAGTTTTTGTCTGATCAACTTTCTGAGTGACTGTACCCCCTCTAAATCGGCCAAGCGGAATCGATTGCTGAAGAGAAATGGAGGCGCCGAAATCGGCAACGCGGTGAAAAAAAACAATCAAGGCGATCCGATCACCACTTTTTTTGTTTCTCTTTTTTCTACGCTTTTAAACGTCGTTTGAGACAAGTATCCAAGAACGGTTTTTCATTCGAGTTTTTCCTCGCCGCGGGAGAGACAATTCGTCTTTACCGCGGAACACCCCTTGGGGTCGAAAAACTGGCGTCCAAATCGACCAATTGTAGGATTGAGAATTCGCGCGACAGACACTGTGGGGGAGCTCATTGTGCTCCCACTGCTTGACTGGCCCAGTACGACCTGTGTATATTTGTAGCCCTTCGTCGCTACCTGGTGTCAAACTCGATTACCATCGGTCAGTATCTACTCAACATCGGTCCCAACGTATCCAACCGCCGGTATCCAACCACCTGACCAGGAGTTTTGGTGTATTCCCCCTCCTCCCCCCCCCCTTTCCTCTCTTGAGGAAATGGTTCACCTACCCGTGTTTGCTCACTTATAGAACCCACATTCGAGTAGCTGCTCTAAGAATGTTTCTCGGGGGTAAACACCCCATGTACGTCCTTCCTCGCCTTGTCCATTTCCCAGCATACCACAAAAGCGCCCGACACGGACAGCACAGCTCAGGACATTTCATGTCAGGCTGCAACAGCAGCACACACCAACTTCCCTTCAATGTACACACCACATGACGAAATGGCAGCGTGTTAAATGTATGAACTCCCGAAACCAACAAACAGCAAATAAAAAACCCGGGTACATGACATGCAAGCAACTGCTGCATATATTACGCCGACATCCGATGCAACCGTGCCCAGCACACGGTGGGCCCTCGTCGAGGCGGAGTCCGAGGTGCCCTGAGAGTTACCACGTCCTCATCATAGCTAGCTACACTTGTTCTGCGTGAGGACGGCCGAAGCGTAGCTCACCGAAGAATCCTGCCGCAGGATTTACGAAGGTGCAAAAATCATCGTTAATGGGAAGGCAATCGGAAATGATTCTTGGAAATGTGGCTTTATGTAAATCTCCTTCCTGACAGGACGTCCGTTTGGATGGCGACCAATTCCGGCTCGACATGTGAGTTGGTTTTCAAGGTGCCACACAAACTCAACGCATTGAGAGCGGTGACCTGCAAACTGAATCGCTAGAGCAATTGGTTCCCACGACCTCTAACACCGCCACGACGTGGGGAGATCTCCGAAATCAGGTGCGTGTGGTGGGTGAGTAATCTGCGCATCCATTTTGGACAGTGAAGATCTGAAAGAGTATGGCCGACCGAGGAGTTACACCTGCAGGGTCTCGATCTGGAGTTGCTCCAGGCACAGGCGGCGGCGGCACCTTCACATCTACTTCTCTCGTAGCTTGTCATATCTGATGCTTCGTTCAAAGAAAAGGGGTCGCTAAAACACTGGACTGGTGACAATTAACAGTCCAAAACTAATAACACCGCCCATAATATGCAGGTTCACTTACTAAAGACCAAAAAAATACAACATCTCCCCTCGATTTTGGCACTATCGATTTTGCTTCCGTGCATCCTTTATGTGCACCTCAGGAGCCCCGTTGCAAGCCGCGGCAGGCCTTGAAGGGGCGTTTCAAACAGCAGCTAATTCTGAAATTTGGAAAACAACAGCTGTGATTAAACGGCCCTAAACGAAAGCAGTCGGCCCTCGCCAACCCACCCCATGCCCGCCTTCCAGCGCCTCGCGCACTCCACAAGGCACACCATGACAGCAGCGCGGGATAGCTTTGATACCATTTTTGCTTCATCCAGTGTGGAGGGATCCCCGAAAAACCAAACTCAAGGGTTTACCAGCAACGGTTTCCTAGGCGGACACACTCTCGGCGGTTTTGTTGTATGGCGGCAATTATTTTGGCGGTAAGCGGTAATACGTTTTGGGCGGTAATAACAATGGCGGAGGCGGTATAACCCAAAATTGGCGGTAATTTGTCGATTATGATATGGCACTAAGGGCCTGATTAAGGTTTGAAGTTGAACCGAAACTGAGGCCCTGCAAGAAAATAAGTTTGGGGGGGGGTACTGGGGGCCAAAGACGCTGATTGGTCAACAACAGGAAAAAACACGATGAGGCTTTCTCTGCCCGGAAAAGCGGGACTTCGATATTGGGTGCATGAAAAAACAATTGAACTGTTTTTTGCTGAATCGAAGTACCCGAGTTGCCCTGCACCCCTTTTGCACCCCCCGTGATGAGCTGAACTCGTGTTGGCCTTACCCCTGACTGGACCGCGTGTGGCACACTGGCCGTGCGGCACCCACACATATCGCCCACTGCCCGCTGCTGGGAAATAGTTGCATGCAATGATTCTGTGAGCGTGTCAACTTTTCGCGCTGGTTGGGCTGCTGTGGAGGGATGCTTTCCAATATGTGCGATGTCAGAAGTCAACGGCCGGCTGTGTGCAGCGAGACAGTCCAAACAACAGTTGTAGAGCAAGCCTGAGCATGAGGCTTGGACCGCTGGCACCACCTTCTGATGATTAGCTTCGTGTGTGTGCTGACATAAATTAAAGCTCCCGTGTGGTGCACATGGTCTATCACTCTAACTGGTTGGTTACCACGTCACCTCGCGGCAGCGATTCCGCCGCATTTGGGTGTTTGCAACATTACGTCATGCGGCGCAAGCCCTACGTCCATTCAGTTTGGGTCCACAATTTAGGTGTGCAACTGTTGAACGCGAACACAGGCCCTACTGTTGCGGCGGCAACGACTTCGGCGGTGGCTGTAAAACGAAAAAAAGGCGGTAAAACGGGCAATGAGGTTCCCGTACCCCGCCGCCCTGTGTACCTACAAGGATAACAACAACAACAATCAAACGCCGACGCAACAGCAAGAGTTCTCACCTGGGGCGACACCACCTTGGTGCTCTGTGCGTATTCGACCCATGTCACGCAAATGCAAACCGTCGAGGCCTCCATTGCATTGATGAAGGTCTGAAAATAGGTGGTCACCGTTCGTCCGACGAACGCAAGTGGGACATACAAAAACGCCAGCAAGATTAAAAGCCTATCAGCTGCCGCTTAGAAAACATAAGTTTAGACAGCCTCGTTCGAAGACCAATGCGGGTGAGGACAAACAGGTACATATTTCCCGCCAGAAATAAAGTCGAAAGACATTGGTCTATCTCGATAACCGCAAACTTCCCAATTCTAGACGGCGAGCACCCGACGGAACAGGTCTAACTGGCCGAACGTGTGCTTATCCCTGTTCCACACAGCTCGTCGCCCTAGGGAAACCATGAAGAAGAGCCCGTCCTTCATGGGCGGTACAATACCACTCGCCAAAGGTGGCGAGTGTCTAAATCTCTGCACGGTGCACAGTTAGCGTCCAACCCCCTTTTACCTTCACAGCTGCATTTGACCGATGACACTTACCGCAATGGGATGCCTTCCACATATTGTGTTTCCATGTTGTGCAAGATATCGGCGGAATCCCACCGCGTCCTGAGATTGAATTAGCTTCATGCCCTATCAAGTCGCCAAGAAGAGCAGTAACAAAGACCTGACGTTACGACAGTTCCTGTACGCAACCAGCTACGACGAAGGATTAGACGGAACTGCGACCACGCTGGGGGATTGTACAGCCACAAAGGAATGGTGACGGCAAACAAGGACGCACTACCTCTTTCACCACCACCCGGGAAAGCGATAGCAATAGGTCGATAGGTTGTTGCGAAATGATCAGCACCAGGGTGCTTGTCCACTAGTTAGGGGGACAACAAGTAGTTTGGCGGTTTATCGCCGTGAACAGGTCTTACCGTTTTGTCAAAGTCGTAACCTCCAACAACTTAGATGTTTCACCGCCGAAATCCCACATAATATTCCGTCTTAGATCATACCGCTTACGCCAAAGTTGTCACCGCCCTCAAAATACGAACCGTTTAAAATGGCATTCCATTACCATCCCGAACCGCCACACTAAGCGATATGGAGTACCCTGATATTTCGGGTCGCACTGTATCGCGCCCAAGACAAGGCGAATCGAAGTTTAGTCTTGTCGGCAGACAACTGCCGCCGGCTATTCTCTGTCTACAAGTATACATGCGGAAACACACATTCGTAGGTTACCGCTGACATACTTTCGCCTTGGACCAGTGGGCATGAGGAGTTCTTCAACGGGGAGTTCGGCATACCTCATGGTCGAGCCAGCTGATATGCTCGTGGATAGCGCTGTGTGCAGTACCCAGGGGCTGGTAACGAAAGCGCGAGCCCCAGTGACAAAAGTCAGTGCTGCAACAAAAACACAGCAAACAAGAATCCAATGACATTCATGGTGCAACATCGAACGGTCAAAACTTGATGTCCGCGACAAGAAATACGTGGCCGCCATCTGGGCCACACAAACATTTTTTTAAAATGCGTACAAACTAGATTTACATATTTACCTTACCTGATAACAAAGAAATTAGTCAAATCCTCCAAGTAAGGCGCCAGGATCCTGCCAGAATACGTCAAGAGAACACGCGATTTCGGTCAAGCTCCACAGACAGATTGGATTCGGCCCGAAAGGACCGAACACGCGACACACATGGGATGTGGAAACGTTGCAAGGCAAGGCATAATGGAAGATAGTCTGCCAGCGCCGTGCCTATACTCAGGGCTTTTGTCAGGTGCCAAACCAGAATGTGCATCAGTGACACACCAACGTAGGAGCACGCCTGTGCCAGCTGCTCGTCGTCTCAGTGCGGACGTCATCAGCCCGTGTCCCACATGCGCTGCGAAACAAAACTGGCGTTTCAGGCAAAGTGCTAGAACCTTGCTTCAGCCACAAAAGGCTCTTCCGCGCCGGGAAGAACACGAAGTTATCCACATGTTTCGATAACTATGTTGGTGTGGTCCAAGGTGAGACAGCGGTCTAAAGTTGCTTGAGGAGGGACGAGAAGCGCCAAGTGCATGCCCCATCAGTCTTGCGCTTAATCTCACACGGTTCTCCCCAAGACATGTGCAATACAGCGAAAACCGGAAGCATTAATACTCGCTCTGGAGAAGCGCAGACAAAAAATCTCATGTACCTGCCATAGTGTTGCTCCAGCTCCGCCGAAAGTGCTCCGATCATGATGGCAACAACTGTGCATGGTCGGCCTTCCATCACCTAGAGGTGGCACGTGTAAGTCAACCTCAACTTAGTTCCATATCTTGCGCGAATAAACAAGCCGTCAATTCCAGTGCCTTTGGGCACAAGATTAAACAGCCAACTTGATTTGCCTCTAACTTACTCATGACATAGACTTCGATTTCCAATCGCCCAACTGTACTGCCGACCCCAATATACAGCCCACAATACCTTCCCACCCCCAGTAACGCGCACGCATGAAACTGTATTTTTCCAATCGATTTCTTGCGACAAGAAATACCTTTTTGATGAAGGGTAAGTGCATCTCGATGGAGTGTTCGTCTTCGTCCATGCGCGCTGTCATTGCGTCGAAGTCACCAGTTGCAAGCAGCTGTCTTGTCACGTCCTGAGAGGAAGGCGCACTTAATAAACTTGAGTAACGAATACCTGGAATTTTCAAATCACTGCGTCATGGATTGAAGCTCAACGGATAAAGGCAGCGAGGCCGAGCGGTTGAGATGCAGCGCACGTGGTTACATGAGGGGCTATTCAGGCACCTGGTCGATTGCGAGGTCGCCTATTGGAGTCTCCAGACGAGATGCAGTAGACACGGCGCATCTTCTGCAAGGAGAGGAAACACAACGGGGCAACGAGGGATTTCATGGCTTTGTCAAATACAGTATCGCAAAAACATTTTCACAGAAAAAGGCAACGTTTGGCTTACAACCGAGGCTAACTGGCGTCAGAAACATAATAATAATTTCGCCCAGGGAAGTGAAATGTCCAACGTGTATGAAAAAACGCGTGCTGAACGACTCACCGCATGTGAACATGATGAGAAGGTCCGAGAACAAAAACCCTAGCCAACTTGGAAGGATCCATATGCGCGTAGGCAGAAGCAGCGATCTGTGCCGAGTAACTGCAGTGACACAAACGATCCGAAACCACACGTACATGTCGCGTGGCGGGAACAGCAATTGAGGCATATAAATCACGATCAACCGTGAGAATTCCAGTTCGGACATAGCCTGAGGAATATCCCGAAGCGCACACGGCGACCGATGACAACCTCGATTCTGTAGCATGGTACGTGCGCAAACCGCAACGGACCCACCTGAACCCTGCATGCGGAGCGATGATGGCGCGAACAGCACTCCCGGGCTTAGTTGTCTGCGCCGAAGCTCCGAGCCAATCTGACGTTGCGGAAATGCATGTATGGCACAATGCAGCGACAGATTCGTGAATAGGGAGGGTTTGACGCACCATTTTCACGAGCAATTCATGCGTTCGATACCGGACGTTCACGTGGGGAACCACTCCTGTTTCACAAACATGTACAGTACCGGGCCCTTTTACTGCCGGTGCGTGTCCAGACCGTCACCGACACTAGATCGGGCCACCGGCACTAATGCGAATAGCGCCAAAAGGGCACTATTCAGGTTTCGAATAACCCTCGTTTGTGCCGGCCCGGCACCAACCGAGGGCGTTTGATTTCATGGTGTGGTGGTCACGCTGAAATGGATCAAAATTGTCGAGTGGTAACGTGGACGTGGTCAGACTTTCTCGCGACAAGTGTTGTTCCACCGTGTCGAACAGAGATTTGTTTTGATAAAAGTACTTGTTGCACAGTTTCTTTCTGCACAGCCTGGGTGTTGAGCGAGCCCTTCAACAACCTCTGTACTCAACATGCTCTGTAGTGCATAACATGCTCTGTACCGCTCTGCCCATCTCCGAAGAGATGTACCAAGCAGCTGCTTAATGCTTTGAGGGCAATAAAGCAGTGGCATTGGCCTCACATGGATCACAACATCTGAGCCTGAACAGCACCAATCGACGGCGATAGGCAGACACACATCATGCACCCGATTGGCCTTTGACGGCAGAAAAAACAAAATGTAGGACGAAGCTCAATCTCATCACTCCTCTTCGCCCTCCTTCGATGTTGCACGATAAAAAAGAAAACAAAAAAGAAACACGACAGGAAACGTACTGTAAGAAAACAGCCATTACTGGTGTGTTATCCAAGTGTTCCACTCTTCCCTCCCCCCCCTGGGCACGCGTGGGGGGGTACGACCGTTAATCCAACATTCGAAAGCAACAATCAAAGCAGAAGATTGCAGAGACAGGCGTTGAAATCTGAGTTTTGTGAGGAATGTAAGATGAGATACTAGTTGGTCAACCAGAGCAGCAGCATGGAGTCAGCGTGAGTCTGACGAGAAGAGTAGACATGGGTGCACTTGCTGGTCTGCCCCAAACAAGCAAGATAGCGTAAGGCTGCGGCAGCCAAGTGGTATTTCGGAGATCCATTTCTTTCCACTCTTACAGCTGTAACTCCACCCTCACTACGCGACAATTTCTCTCCTGTCTGCCTGGCGTACTCGCTTAGCAGAATGCGCTGCGATCATCGACATCTTTGCTTTCGCCAGGTAGAGCGCCGCGTCTCCCAAGCACCTTCCGGACATGACACGGTGCGCCTCTGCATACAGTTATGTTCTGCAGCAGCACGTGTACCCTATAGTAGTGTCTCTGGAGTCTGTCTTCTGCCTGTCTTTTGTTTTTAGGTGTGTGTGTCTTTATTGCTGGCATCGATGGCGCTAACAGGCTCACCAATGAAAAGACGCCAGTCTTAGCGCGGTTGAAAACACAAAAACACAAAACAATTCTAAATGCCATAGACTTGTATCTGTGAGCGCGCATCAACCGGCACTATTGGCAGGGTACAGCGGCGCCCAACCGGCACTTTGTTGGGCCCGCCCTTTTAAATGCCGTCTGGCACTCTATCGGGCTGCCTAATGTGTCCAGATAATTTACCGGCACTAAATCGGCCCCCTGGCACTATTCGACCCGCACAATGAAGGGCCCAGTACTGTAAGGGATCCCACCGGTAACTCTCGCCGCGTTTATCGTGTTTCAGAAGACGATATCTCCATATCCTTGGAGTCAATGGAGGCATTATCCCCGAGGTTGATGTGTCATGGCGCTGCCAGTGGTAGGGCGAATTGGCAGAAAACGCAAGGCGGCCGGCAAAACCGGGGCACCTAGTTGAACGCTTGTTTCATACTCAACCCACGATGTGAATTCGTGACTTCTCTACCGGGCCACGTACGCTACATTCCTGCGCGACAGGCTAGTGCTAAAGGGACGCGGTCACATCGCGCGCCTTCCTCAAACCGGTACCGAAGTGTTTTTGTAGAAGACACCCTTAAGGAAGGTATTATTTTAATTCCAACTTTGGGGTGCGCAGCGCGCAGGGTCCGGCCGCTCAGCGTACTTCGGCGAGACTACGGCCAACTTCTCTCTTTAGGGTGCGGACGGGGAGCGCCTCTCCGTCACTAATCCCCACCGTGAAGCGCGCTGCAATCGCTGCCGTCGCACGTGCATGTGCAGAGTCTACCAAAACCGCTGCATTGAAGGACAGGTTTGTTTTGACTTGAGGAAATAAATACACGTACAGACTTGCCGCGTTCCGACTTCGTACTCTCGGAAGATTTGCGGAGGTTGAATGTGTTTTCCCCACTCACTGGAATGTGTTGTGTGTGTTTCAGCCACACCCACTTTTACGCCCCCTCCGCACACAGCGACTGGTATACGCACACGCACGCACGTTATGGTACAGAAGCACTGAAGCCATGGTATATGTAGTGGGGTGGAATCTAACAACGCCACGGGCAAGCATTGAAGTAGTAAAAAATGAGAAAATGTCATCGTGCCGGCAGGAAACACGTATTTTTGCACGTGCTTCTGCGAAGAACGTGATCATCGAAGCTATGCCGACAGCAGTGGAGCCGCCTCCTCTGTCATCGGCACAAAACCGTAGAAGTAGAGGTTGGCCGTGACCCTCCATGCGCACACGCACCCGCTGACAAATTCAACCCGTCGTTGGGCGCAATAGTACCTACTCCGTTTTACACTGAATGACGCTACCGTTTTTCCGTCATTTTCAGTGCGTTCCACTTGGTCTGCAGTGTACGTGCACCACCTACCAACTACATGTGACTTCCACCGTCTTAACTGAGGACGGGAGGGCGATAGCCCCCCGCGTCCGGCCCCTATAAAATGCGTCCGGAACCAGTGAAAAAATTGCCTGCACTCCCCGCGCGCTCCTCCCCTCGACGCGTGATTTGAGTCATGAGTGAAATAATGCATAGCTTCTCACAGACTGCTGTGCTTCGCTGTACCCGCCATCCCTTCGCGTACAAATCAGAGAGCATTCCTATTCCGCAAAACGTGAGTGGACCCCAGCTTGCTGCCTCCTTCCCCGTCGCTCGATACCATCTTCAACGTCTCAGCTCGCGAGCTCCTTTACCAAACGACACAACACGATACATACTATTCAACAGGGTCAATGAACTCAGATGACTAGCCGCAACCCTAAAAGGGCGGGGTCCATCCTGCCTTGGCTACTTTTCTCCAGAAGTGTACCCTGATTTCGAAAGTGTACCCTGACCTGACGGGAAATGAGACCCTTTAATCAAACATTTCCTTCGCAGGAATCATCCCTCAATCATCCTCTCCAACCATGGGATGCCAAACATGGACTCTTGCCACCCAAAAACAACCATGGCAACTGGGCAGAAATCAATCAGGAAAGAATTTTCGCCCGTGCGACACAACACTGACCATGAACTCTTCCCGCTCTAAACGAACTATGGCTCGCAAACGCCAGCACAATTGTTTTGGAAAGCAACCGACACCCATGCTACAGCATCTACTATATGCGAGATACGGGTCAGGCTTAGAACGCCAGACTGGTTCAGCACGATCGAGATAGATGCATGTATGTGCCGAAGAGAGGGGAGGAAGGACACATACTGCACGTCTTCTCCTTACTCCAGAAGCAGGACACTGTTGTGTTGTGCAACTCCTGCACCCTCCCTATCGGCACAGAGTGTCGCGTTTGTTTTTCATCCCGCTGACTGACGTCAAATTCATTGGTCGGCTGGTGCGCGCGATCGACACTATAGTGATTCAAGCGAGACACAAACACCACAAATTGAGACACCAACACAATACACAGGCCGTCCTCATCAATCATGAGCGAGGAAGAAGTGGCGTCGAAGGAGCTTCGGTGAAAGCGGCGCACAAAGTTACCCATGCACTATCGTCATCCTAAACCAAGCACACACATCAAACCTCGCAAAATGGACTACTGTATCTAGCAAAGACGTACGGGTGTAACACCCCGATATTTCCAACGGAACCATGCTGGCGTAGCAACCCAGTCATCGGGTGTCACGTATGTACCAAGCTGAGTCGCTTTTCGACCACGGTATACACTGTTGTATCGTTTGCCCAGAGAAATAACAAATCTTCTCATACGCATATCTGTCTCTGTGGACAGGAGTCTACCCGCGAAGCCTACGTGTTTGCGGGGGGGGGGCGGGAACTGACCACCCCACAATATTGTCCAAATCACGGCACCATGTTTCAACATAGGGAGTTAACCTAATCGGACCATTAGTGAAGCGGGGAGGACCGAATTTCCACATCCCATAGCCAAACCTGTCAGTTGCTGCCCTAATAGAGGCCCACTATCGGAGTACCATGTGCCAGCATGAGACGCCCGGCGCCTGTAGGGTTTTGAGTCTTGGTCACCGAATCGGGGCATTTCGACCTGCAGTGAAACGCATGGTGTGTGACTGGGTTTTCGAGAGAAAAGCAAAACATACTATCTGAAACAAGGAGCAACATTCCATCTGAGCAACAGGGACTGATCGTTGAATGCATTCATACATGGGATTGAGATCAGCTGGTTACCTCGGACGTAAGTTCGACTCTCGGTACAGTCACACGAACTGTTTTTTACACGTCGCATCATGCCCAAAATCCATTGTCCATGAGGGGGTATCCGTCTCGCGATATAACTAGGGTCAACCATCCCAAGAAGTCCAATAAAACAAGAAACTTCTGTGAGTTAGAATACCTTGTAGACAAAGAGCCCACCCGTATGCATATCAAGAGCTGTTGTCAGGCGTGGACATTAGACGGAATGACGACCTTTGCTTATGGATATACTTACATACACATGACCCAGGCCAACCAATCGATTACGGCGATGGGTATAATGTAATAGGGAAGAGCCGCACTGAAGTCAAAATCCTGAAAGAAAAAATCTAAGGCGGCACCTCCCCCGACTGCTGTACACTCCATGCTCCCCCCTCTCCCGCGAAGCCATAGGACTCAAACCTCTCCTTTCATTTTTTGGAACCATTTCAGCTTGAGCAACTGTGCCCCATATCAGTTTAGGCCTTGTATCGGTAGGTCGAGGTGCTTGAAACTTTGCGATATGAGCATAATCTTTCCGCAGAGGGTCTTGGTGAAAAAGCGCAGAAAAATGTGCTTCAGCTGCCGACAGCTACAGCACGCCGTGCGCAACCACACTGCTGGAAAGGGCAGAGCCTACCGACTAAGTGTGTGAGCGGCGTCCCATGCATCGACAACATCGACAACAGTAGCAGGCAACCAGAAACGTTCCCGTGAAGTGATATCCCAACAAGTTAAGGTAGGCCTGTGTGCACGCAATGGGGGCGAAATCGGGCGATGCGTGTCCGTGTGGAGCCATCGACAACTTGTGCCCAACAAGTAGATTTGTTCCCGAGCTCTTACAACTACTTGCGGCTCAATCCGGGCTCATCGCGTCGAGTCACCAAAGAATGTGTGCCCAACATACGCCTATGTCGGATTCGCGCGCTGGATAAGGGCATGGAGGTTGTTCAGTCTATGCAGGTATCCTGTGAGCTTGGGCTTTGGTCCTACAGTCCGCTGAACATTGGATAGTTGGAACGCCCTAGAAAAAAATGTACGGATTTCTCCATCTGGAACTTTTCCGCCTGTAGTATATCAACAGATTTTACTTCAAGTGTATCAAACACGAAGCGACGCTTTCGCTGTGTGTGGCGCGGTCTGTTGGGGGGGGGGG